GACACAGTCCATGAAGTAGTGTTTGACAATTCTTAATATCCTTAAAATAAAAACCAGAGGGATCAAATACAATGTAAATGTCATTATCCTTTGTTAGTCAAGAAATAGACAAAAGATTGTAATTAATAGAGGGTATATGTAAAAGATTAGTTAGAGTAAGCTTACGATTCGATGTGGGCAAGATGCCCTCAGCAGTATGTGCTATAGGAACTTAACGCCCGTCTCCTATGATGATTGAATTCGAGCCTTGGTATTGGTTTGATAAAGAAAGTCTGTCGAGTGAGTTGGTTACTTGAGACGAGGCACCTAAGTCCAAATACCATTCACTGTGTGCTTGTTCGGATGTGGCAGCAAGACCATGGTTGGTATTATTTTGCGGTTGAGGAACATATTGGAGATTCGCTCGATGCCAAAAATTATGTGCTGAGTGACCCTTCTTGAGGCAAATATGGCAAGTAACACAGCAGGACCACACTTCTTGCACTGGATGAATTTGGATGGGTAGACTGACCCTGAGATCTGCGTCCTCTTCCGCGGAAGGAATAGAGCGCAAGAGTGGGATTGGTGTTGTTTGGGAGATAAGAGGCATCCATAGATAAGTTGATTTCTTCGCTTAGGAGAAGCGAGTAAAGATTATCCAAGCTGATAGGGTTTAGCATGGTGCGAATTGAGGTTTTAAAGGATTGGTATGTGGGAGGAAGACAATTTAAGATATAAAGAATGATATCCTCCGTATCAAGAACAGAGCCGGTGGCAAAAATTTTATCAACAAGATTTTTGATATTGGAGAGATGTTGAGTCATGGAAGAATTTTTCATAGAAATATTGTGCAATTCGTTTTTGAGTTGTATGACTCTAAAGCGATTGGAAGATTGAAATCTTTTTTCAAGGGCTTGCCAAATCTGAGAAGTGGAGTCAAGATTTAGGATATACGGAAGAATCGAAGTGGAAATAGGGGAACAAATGGCTGCCACTAAATTTTGATTGGTTAGCAACCATTGTGTGTAAGTAGGATTTGGGTTTGACGAGCCGTCCAATTTCTGAAGCCGAGAAGCAGGGGGTAAATGGAGATATCAAGAAAACTAGAAAAACCATTTGCTCTAAACAGTTTGTTGATTAGAGATCTCTAAAGAGAATAACTGTTGGGAGAAAGTTGAGTAGGGACCAGATTTTTCAAGTTAGAAACAAGAAATTTTAGAGAGGATGTGATATCGGTGATGTTCGCATGGTCGATGTCCGTGGGATCTTCAGCATGAGATGAAGCGGATGTAGCCATCAGGAATGATCGGAGGATCTTTCCTTGTCTTATACCATGTAGAAGAACAGCTCCAGAGGATTCACTGTTCTTGGCAAGCGGATAGAGAGGAACCGAGGAAAGAGTAATGCATAAAGAAGAACTACTTTCTATTATGTCTTAACCTTGAATACAACTCTTATATAACGAAATAATGCAATGGTGAGATACAACAAGTACACGTGTAAAGGTAAACAAAAATCAAGATGGCCTAGCTTATACATGTTCATCTTGTATTGGTCTTTGTTTGTCTTTATGCTCTAACAAGAATATACATATCTAACTCAAAGTCTCATACTGATGAGTTTCTCTTATGACACAAATTAAAGATGCGTATACACTTTTAATTTCTATATGCATACCTATTAGCCACTTTCATATTTGTTATATATTCCCTATATTATGCTTATGAATGCGATATTTTCTTGACGATATTATATACATTGAGTATATCATTATGCTCATTACAATCCTCTTCTGCATATGTGTATGAGGCATTATAGTTTGTATGTAGGTGAAATATAGGAATTTTATTCACCATCAGTCATTACTTGTAGTTCGTTTGAAATTTAGTACAAGTCCCCTGCTTCTTTGTTGGTAATCATTTGGATTACTTGGGCTTATATGTTGAAATTTGCATTTGGTGTGGTTATGCATTCGTTAATTAAAAGTTTGATTCCTTGTTGTCCATTCAAGTTCAAGTCCTTTGTCTTTTAATGAGCAAGTTCAAGTCCGGAGTGCTATAAAGAGTGGTAATATAGCTTCAATTTTATATTTTATTAAACACCCTAAGGTTTATTCTTACTAGCACTATTTTCTTATATGCATGCTACACACTTAGTTCCACATTGAAGAAGCATGTTACACTATCATCAAGAAAGCTTGATGAAATCATAAAATCTTATGTGCTTGTTTTACCAATTAATGTTTTACTTTTATCTTTCTGACCACTTGTTCTTCCCCCTATCAAGAGAATGAACAAATTGATCTCCAACTACTGCCCGAATTTCAACAATCTTCATATATCATCTTCATATGCTTGTCGACTACTTGCACTCATCAGTGCCATTAAAAATTCGAAGCACGTCTTACTAGTCACCAATCTTAAATATAATATAAGAACTAGTATGTTGACTCCTATTGCAAAACTTTTAATGCTTCCTATTAGTTGTCACCCAAAGCTTGTAAATAATTAATGTGTAGCATTTGTTGACCAATAATATTCGATGACCTTTTATTTTGTTGCATGAACTCTCTTATAGGTGTGTTTATATTTGTAACGTGTTAGAAAATTTGCATTGATAAAGTAGAAGATGTATTTTTAGCTTTTGATAAAAATATCACATACAGATAAAATTTATAAGAGACCTAAAATTTTTAATGTGGAGAATCCGTACATGAAAAAAATCACCGGGTCTAGCCTAGTTGAAAAATAAATTATATAATAAGAGAGACAAGAATTCTCCTTTCCTTACAGTTGAAGAAGAAGATGTTATTTGAGAACAAAATATATAATTTCCCTTTTGGAAGGATTACAAAAGTCTAATGTCCACAAGTTTGACAATTAAAACCCAACAACTATGTTAGGTCTTTACATGAATCAAGGGATGATGACAATGATTGTTGGTAGTTGTCGTCGATGGAGAGGATGGCTGATGGTAGTCATCAATAGTGATAGATAGAAAATGCTAAAGAGCTATTTGGTTCTCTTAGCTCTTGATCCTCTCTTTCTATAGAGCATGATGCTTTATTTATAGACTTTTTGAGAGGTGCATTTTAGTAAATTGAGTCATAATTCAAAACATAATCATGCAGTCCATATTGATTTCCTTGATCATGATGCAATTAAGTGCCTTAATGACAATGCAATTAAGTGATCTTAGGCTCGTTCGATTTGTTTTATCGAAATGCTCAAATTGATTATAAGTATATCAAATTTGGAGATCATTTGGTCATCCAATAAATGTATGAAGTTTTCAATTATTTATCAAGTGCTTGATTTGGTCTCATTAGGCTGGGATTAGACCACATTTGATATTGTTGGGTTCATCTTATCGAGACGTTCAGTTCAACTATAATTTCACATAAATTAGAGTTCAGATGGTCTTGAATTTAATTTTAAAATTGTTCAATTTAAAATATACCTTGAGATTAGTGGTAATCATGCAAATTTTTCATAGACATATATATAACATGAAAAATATAGACTAAGGCAACCTGTGCAAGATTAAGTTGGGTAGTGATCAATTTAAGTGACTTGAAAAGAAATTTGATGGGTTTCAGGTCGTGCTGGATTTTTGATCAACTCGAAAAGAATGATCTATATAATTTATTCTTTTTCAATTAAAAAATTATATTAAATTATCTTTTTGATATTTTTAGTAGATATTTGTGTTCATTTCATGTTGGCCTTTCACCAACCTGTCACAACTTTTTTATTTATTTATTTATTTATTTTTGTTCATGTCATGCTTGATTTGAGCTTTATTAAGTCGAGTTTGGACTGAAAATTTTCCCCATTTTATAAATCGATTGGATTCATGTTGGATCATTTCAAGTTGGTCTTAATCCCGTCTCAAGAACCCAAATTGATAACCTTACCCTATTATCATGAATTTAACTAAACAAACCGCTCGCTATCAACTGATAACATCTCTACCATCTCAAAATCAATAATATAGACATCTTCTACAATTTATATAGATCACATTATATTAATATCTTCTTTAATTATGGGGAATGAAATTTTTATATTATGTAAATCATACTACTACAATTGTTTAATTGAGCTAATTCTCCTAATTTTTTTCTAGTTTTTCATTTAAAAAACTTCATAAAACGATCTCAACTTAGGAACTTACTCATATGCAAAAAATTTACTATTTTTTTTCTACAATTACTAATATTCTACCATGTGATTAAGGCATTGTTTGAGACGACTTTTTTACTGTTGCTTAAAGTAACTTTATAGTACAAAATTTTTAAGTTTTACACTAAAAAGTTATTTTTAAAAAGCTGTAAGAAAGCTGTCTCAAATGATGTCTGGCAGGCTTTTTTACTGCTTTCTAAAGAAGCTTTTTAGTATAAGAAATTTTTGTACTAAAAAGCTATTTTAAAAAGCAATAAAAAAGCCGTCCCAAATAAAGTCTAAGACTTCATTTGGGATGTCTTTATTATTAATTCTTAAAACAACTTTTTAAGAAGTAATAAGAAAGTTATCCCAAATGAAGCCTAAATGAAGTCTTCATTTGGAATAACTTTTTTATTATCTACTAAACAAGCTATCCCAAAAAAAAATTGTTTTAAAAAAGTTATCCCAAAAGATGCTTAAATATCAAATACCATCCCATGCAATAAAAAGGTTAGCATCCTTTTATATTTGGCAAATTTCCACAACTTGATAATAATGCCCAACCCCTTCTAAGAAAAAAGTCAGCATCTCATAACAAAGTGGACCCCATCCACCAACATCATCTCAAAAGTCCTAATATCCCATCACATGAAATATCATCCATAATTGATATACATCACATCACAATAATTTCTTTTCTAATTATATTTTTTTAACTATAAAAATAATTTTATAATTTTTTAACTCACACAAATAAAATTACTTCAATTAAAGTAAATCACATAATGTTTTTCTTTCTAGTTTTTTTAATATAAAAGTAAGACAATAAGGCTTTCTCAACCAGAAGAATCAATCTCCACAATAATAAAGAAGTCAGCATCTTTTATTTTTCACAACTTTACAAAACTTGCCTTAAAAAACCATTAAATGCAAAGGAAGGATCCATACCATTTAAAGCAAATCAATGTGGAACGTCCGATCCCGATTCAACGGCTTCAATCTTGCCGCGAAGCACTTATTCCATTATCCACCCCTTAACACTGAAATCTGAATGGCACTAACTACAGGATTGTCGCCGGAACCCTAACCGCTCCCTCTCGAGGTCGTAAACGACGTAGTAATTCTGCTGCTGGAAGCTACCAAGTATGATCGCCGGGCCTTCGCCGCCTACGCCGGCAGCTCCGTTGGGGGAAACGATCGTCAGGCAGATTGCTGGCCGGGATGTTCCCACAATGGCAAAGTAGTTCTCCAGGGGAAGCTGCATCTTGGCGCCGCCCTTGAAGTGGAAAACGAGATCCGGGAACGAGTAGTTCGATTCGCTGTCCGGTATCTCAAAGCACGGTCTCAGTCCGGTGAGCACCTCGACCTGGTCGGACCGGTTCAGCTTCCCGGCCACTTGGCCGACGAACGCGGCGGCTAGCGGCTCGAATACTGCTGGCTCCATGAACGTGAACGTCGTCCCGGAATCTACGATCGTGCCGCCGTTCCCGTCGAATCCTGGCACAAGCGCCTTATGCGGAATCTTCACCTTCTTTCCTCCGACTGTAATTTTCCTCAGTCCTACGTAATAGTAAACTGAAAAAGCCTCCGCGCCATAGGTAGCGTCCGCTGCTGTTGCAGCTGGAATGGGGTTTTTGAGCAGAGGCGTGAAACTGACCTCGCCATTGCCGGAATCGGGGACGCCATTCAACAATAGAGAGCCGCTCTCGCCTTCATCGTCAAATTTCCGGGAAATCAGACAGTAAGAGAAACTCTTCAATCTGAGTTGATCCGGGAGAGAGGAAACCCCACGGCCGAACCCTGCGATTCCGCCGCCTGGCATCCCGTCAGAAAACACAGAGCAGCCGACAAGGAAATCGGTGACCGTCAGAGTGGAAAAGTGCAAGGTTTCCGAGAAAAGAAGCCCCGCGGTGGAGCCGGAACCGTATACAAGTAGGTATGGTGGGCATATCTGAGAGCAATCGGAGGAATTTGAGGGGAGGCAATTGCGGCAGCGTGAGAGGAATTCCGGAGAATGGATCCATCCGCATTTTGTGTTTTTGCAGCCGATGAGCTTGGAAGTAGAGGATTCCTTGGGAAAGAAGGTGGGAATGGAGTTCTCTTGTGAGGAGCAGTTCTGGCAGATGTATTTCGTGGTGCAGGGGATCCAGGTCAGTTGGCTACCGGTGTCGAACACTAGGGGGATTTCCTGCGGCGGGGTTCCAAAACTGATGTTAATCGAGTAGCCGCCGTAAGAATGGGGGTAGAGAGCAGCGCGGGTGGAAGGAGACATAGTGGCCGGCTTTTTAAGCAGCTGAGCTCGAAGAAGAGAGGCAGAAGCCATTCCAGAGAGCCGGTTGAAGGGGTCGAGCGGCAGAGGAAGTCGAGCTCGCCGGAGCTGGATTGAAATCTCATTTTCGCCGGCAACGAGAGGAAGTAGGAGGAAGAGGAGAAACTGATAGTAGTAGAATTGAGCCATGGAGGAAGACAATGGAGCGGCATATGCTTTCTACTTGTAGGATTGTAGCGGCCGCATGGGACCCACCGGCGGTGGCCGCGTAACACGCGAGGCGGTGACGTTAATCTGGCCGTTGGTTTCGCAGCCAGCCAACACCGAACGGTTGAATGCTCGCCTGTGGCAAATTGGCTTGACGTGGAGGCTTCCTATCCGTCGATTGAGGATTGTACAATGTCAAACGTGTAGAGGACAAAGATTGGAAGACTAGAAGAAGAAGACAATTTGCCTCGTGGACCATCCGATGACGTGGATTACAATTTTTTTTTTGCGGAAATGGATTAAATATGCAAAATTTTAAAGACCGCTGCTTCATTAAATTAAATGACTAAAAACGGCAAAAATAATATTTGTAGAGAAATCAAGTAGCTATCTATGTATTGTCACAATATTTTTATTATAAAATTTTTTAGTTCAAAAAGCTTTTTACTAGAAAATTGTTTTAGAAAGCCACATAAAAGCTGTACCAAACAAACTCTTAATGTCTCATTTTTAATAGGTTTTTTTTCCGTAGTATTCCTTCATCGATGTAGCTGATGGTGCTAATTTTATTGTATGTTTGAAGGTTGGGTTATTTGGTTTATATATATTTTTTATGTTCATGTTAATATTTTTAAATAAATTATTATATAGCGTCCAAGAAAAAAAAAATTATTTTAATGATTTGATGAAAATTATTTGTTAGACAAGAAATATAAAAAATAAATATTATTTTATTATCTTTTTAATATGATTATTCATCAAATTAAGATTTTACTATTTTAGTATAAACACCATCGCCTTATTATGATTTTTTTATCATTATTATTTGACTACAGTCCCCTAATCACAATCGCTCTATTATGATCCTCTGGTCATCGTCCCTTAATTATAGCCCACTTAAGTACTATCACCCGCTACAGTCCTCTGAGCACTATTGCTCGATTAGGACCCTCCTCCAACCACTACTATTTTACTATGAACCTTATGCTACTATTGTCAAACTATAATTCTTTGACTACCACCACTCAATTGTGGTCCTTTGACCACCATCATTCATCTATAATCTCCCAATCATTGATACCCTACTATAATCTCCTAACCACTACCATCTGACTACATATATTTCCATCGAATTCATCGTTACCAACATAAACACACGTGATCCCCTATAACATCGATACATGTGTTCAACCCCAAATCTAACTTAAGGTATTAACACCAAGACTGATATGGATTTTTTTTTGCCTCTGGCCTCCCCTTGTACAAGAAGAATAGTAAAAAAAGATAATTTATTATCTCTTAAAGAAAACTTTTATTCCACGAGACGCCTCCAACATCCACCACGAAATCATTTCTCTACAAGTTATGCCTAATGCATTGTATCAATATTTTCCACCGCTATGACAAAGAGTGTCATTTGCAATAAAAGCCAAACCTGACTTAAGGTATTAACACCAAGATTCATACTGGATTTCCTTGCCTCTGGCCTCCCCTTGTAAAAGAAGAACGGTAAAAAGATAATTAATGATCTCTTAAAGATAACTCTCATTCCACGAGATGGCTCCAACATTCAACACGAAATCACTTCTCTACAAGTTATATCTATTGTATTGAATCAAAATTTTCTCCAATTATGACAAAGAGTGTCATTTGTAATAGATGTCAAATCTAACATAAGGTATTAGCACCAAGATTCATAATGAATTTCTTTGCCTCTTACCTCCCCTTGTACAAGAAGAACAATAAAAAAACATAATTAATGATATCTTAAAGATAATTTTCATTCCACGAGATGCCTCCAACAGTCAACACGAAATCATTTCTCTACAAGTTATATCTATTGCATTGCATCAATATTTTCCCCAACTATGACAAAGAATGTCATTTGTAGTAATAAATAAACGTACACTAGTAAAATTATTTTAACTAGGTCAAATCTTATGACTTTCACGTTTATAGGGTTTTCTCATATAAAAGCTCTGCTATCTTTTGCAACTTCTCTTTTAATCTATTTGTGTTGGACTGTCATACAAAACCACAGTTCATTTCTACCACAATGAATATTCTAGCACGCAAGATATGACAAAATTACTTTGTTCACTAAAAAGTTGTAAATAATTTTAGATTGAGTTGAGTCATTTTAATGTAAGTCATTTTAAAATAAGACTACTACTATTATTATAAAAACATCTTGAATTTTCCTCCAAATCAAATATTGGCCATCCATTTTATTTCTTCTAAAATTATCTTATTCCTTCATTATATTATAAATAATTAATAAATTTAAAAATATATAATAATTATGCAAATTAATGTCCGTTACAAAGACACCTCTTACAAAATTAATTTTTCTTCTTCTCTAGGACCTGATTGAGTTTCCCTCCACCGAATTTCATTTGACCTATTAATATTTTGTTTAACTATCATTTACGTGATATCGCATGTTTCTTATAGGATTTGCGATTTCCTCCGGTCTTCGGTCTTGACTCTTTGATTACCCTAGCTTCCTCCATCTCACATGTTTTCTTCAGTAGGCTTTTCTCTCCAAAGATTTTGGTCTCCTAAACTTCTTTAACATGTTTTCTTACTGGCAATTAGGCCACTCGCCAATTTCTTTCTTCAATTATTTCAGTGTTTTGAACTTCTAAAACACTTCTTCAATCAGGTTCCTTTCTCCAATTATTTCGGTCATATGAACTTCTTTTCTTTTATTTTTTTGACTCTTTGGAAGATGAACTCAACGGTCCAAACCTTTCAACAAACGGTTTGCCTCTCCATAAGACCGTAGATTCTATGTTCTTTTCTATCATATATAATTGCTAAAATTATTCTCACATGTTTTTCATTTAGATCTTTATGGTTTGCATTTCATTTATGGATCTCACCAACCTCGACTTCAAAGGATCTGTACTCTTTTGGCTTCAACTAAAATTTACTTTAGAGATATGACAACTCCAAGAACAACTAATTTAGCTTCTGAATTTTAATTTACTTTTTTTTCTCTACTGGTTGTATCTATTTTTCTTTTTAGGATTGTCTTGTAAGATGTTTTGATTAAGCAAGATTGTTTATTTTTGAAATATTTTGTGGGTTCTGTGAGATGGAAGTGGAAATTAAAGGGGGATTTGGGTTTTTGGTTGTGGGTGATTCTGGTGGGTTATTGAGTGTGTTTGCGTTCTTATTCAAAAATTTTTTTTTAAAAAAAAAAAAAAAAAAAAAAAAGAATTTGTTCATTTTGTAGAATGAGCTTTGAACTTATCTTATGCCAGAATGTTATATTGAAGAGCAGGTGTATGCAGGTGCAGAACTAGTCCTAATTTTAAGCCGGGGCAAACTTATAAGACATATATGTCGCGGGGTCAAGGGGCAACGCCCCTGCGGGGGTTTCCGGGGGAAACGCCCCAGGACAAATTTTTGTTTGAAGGATATTTTTGGAATTCAATGATGAATTCTCTTTACTATTTGTTGGGGGCAATTACCTAAAGACCATAATATTTTAAAATTTTTAGGGGGGCAATTGCCTAAAAACCCTTATAATAAAGACAAAAAAATGAATGAAGATGGATAAATTACCTAAAAAGGGGGGGGGGGGGGGGGGGGATGCTATGCCTCGGGGTGGCAATTGCCCCTCTGACCCGAATGGGGTTCCGACCCTGAGTGTTTGATTGTATTGCAAAAAATTTAGGCTTTGTTTTAGGTAACAATGAATCAAACACAAAGATCAAGAAATATTTATAGGGCACAATTAGGATACTGAAAAAATAATGTGGGTGTTGTTGTCACTATTGCTATGCCTCGGCTATTCATGAACGATTAAGACCCGAATGGGGTTCCGACCCTGAGTGTTTGATTGTATTGCAAAAAAATTAGGCTTTGTTTTACGTAACAATGAATCAAACACAAAGATCAAGAAATATTTATAGGGCACAATTAGGATACTGAAAAAATAATGTGGGTGTTGTTGTCACTATTGCTATGCCTCGGCTATTCATGAACGATTAATTTTGTTGTTATGTTACTTATGTTTGCTTCACGTTGATGCTTATAAGTTCAGTCAGACTTCAGAGAAATTTTATCCTACTTTTTGCTGTCACAAATTTTTTTTTTGTACATGAGTGTCTTACCATTTATATTTCTGTTATCTTATTTTCTTTATTTCCACTTTCAAATGCAAAGAAATTTTTGTTAGTCAGAAAGGCTAAAGTGAAATGTGAATTCTATGATTTATTAATAAATATGAAAGAATTCAAAGATTAATTTAAATTGTTGTTGGCAAAAAAGGGCATTCCTTATAAGATATGAAATTTTGTTTATTTAGATAAGAATTTAACTTTACATTAATGTTACTATACAAGTAGTGTATTATTAACTGAAATGAACATTATAAAAAATTTTGAATCTAGACAAGAAAAAGTTTAGAAACTTAATTTCATAGACAAAGAGATAATTCTATTTTTTAATATTTAATTTTAATTGTATATATTTATCTAATATTTTATATGATCTTTAATATATATATATATATATATATA